TTAAAATTAATTATTTTTTTGAACTAATTGAAACTTGTTTTCGAAATAGTTTTTTTACTATCAATTATCTGTTGAGACTAGTTCGTGCAACTGGTCCCATCATGTGTTTTCGTGAAAGAACGCTATTTTAACATTTTCATCAAACGATGCCATATTTCACACAATACTTTGATATTGGGTGAAAGTTATTTTCCGGGTTCTTTGACCAAGGTCTGCAGATTTTATGCTTTCCGTTTCGTCTATTACTACGGAAGATATTATCAAAGACAATGTGGGGACGGTTGCAGTGCCCGAGTTGATGCTCGAGTTGTTGTTTCTCTTGTTCTCTCAACTGGATTACCTGCCCTTGTTTGTATATCATTAAGGACAGGTAGCCAGATTTTATTAATGTTTATTGCCTCTTCTTTTCTCTTGAAATTATTCAAGTGTTTTTTTTTAATTTCTATTGCCTCTCCATATACTCTTGGATAGTAATTTTGAGTTTTATCAAGTATTATTGCATCATCGAATGAGATAATGTGAGTGCCTTCTTTGTTGAGAGTTACAGCTGATTTGTGGGTTTATCCGAATCGACAGTTTCAATCCTGTTCAAAAAGACGGGTACCTACACTATTTTTCTCAATCTTGATACAAAAAAATTGGGGAATTTTTCAAAGATAGGAAGAAAGGAATCAATTTAAAAAAATAGTAACTCTATACAAAGATGTGTAGATCATGCAAAGAAGTAACTTTCAGACACAAGAAGGATTTGAAGCTTTGACAACTTATAATTATTATATGCGAGCGCTTTCGTTAGCGGACTGTACTATCATCTTCATGGCTCTACTCAAACTGAACATTTTATCTTCTTGTTTGTTCTTTTATACGGTTAGATCGTCTTAGTGAATTTGTTATTGTTATAGATGGTTCATTAAATTTGCCTGTACTTGGTTTACCTTTGTGTTGGTGTTTTTCTAGGTTCATTGTTTCTAGAAAAGTGTATTATTTTGTGGAGATATAAATAAGATATATATTTGTTTATTATTTATATCTGCCAAACCAAGAGAAAACTGATCCAAAAGTACGATGAGCACGAAAAAACATACATAAACCCAATAACATATAAATCAAACCTTTCCACACTCACCATACAAAACTAACATAACTTTTCCCTACCAGAAAATATCAAACTTATAAAACAAGTCAATAAACGGAACCGTATGAAAAACCTTAACATCCATAAATGCAAAAGCCATAATTCACCTATAGAGGAACAAATACAAATCAAAACACAACAAGACCTAATATTCAATATACTCCACAAAACAATACACATTCCAAGAAACAATGAACCTAGAGAAACACCAACACAAAGAATATTACCTGATTTATCACAAGTACAGGCAAAATTTAATGAGAAATCCGGATGAAATGGGAGGACAAATACCTGCCCAAACCGTAATTAATGAACCATCAGCAACAATAACAAATCTACTGAGGCGATCTAATCGTATAAAAGAACAAATAAGAAGATAAAACGTTCAGTTTGAGCACAGCCATGAAGATGATAGCACAGTCGGCTCGCATGTAATGATTAGAAGTTATCAAAGCTTCAAATCCTTTTTGTGAACAAGATGAGTACTATTCCGATCATTCCCATATTGATTTCAATTTAAGAGTCTGTTATTCGTTTTCCCTGTTTTGTCTTTTTACAAAAGAAAAAACATGGCAAAGTAGCTCCGGCAGCTGTTCGTCGGCGGCATATGGGAGTGGATTGATTACTGTGATTCTGTTAAATAAAATAAGGATACAACAAGGGCGCCACTGTCTTTTTTATACGGTTTTATTTGGAAAAGATGATTTTTCCTATTGGGGAATAGAATGTTTTTATGAGTTATGTTACCTAAAAAGGGCTCGAATATTCATGAATATAGCAAATTCATATAAATAATTATGAATGGTTTGTTTGAATGGTTAAATATAAACAGTTAAATATTGAATGTAAGAACTTAAATATTGAATCAAAACTATAATACTGAAAGAACTGTATTATCTATAACTGGCGTTTCATCCAACGTTGATTCTAAAGAAATAACACTCACAGAGCGGATGAGGTCCTCAAGCAGTAAGAAAGGAGGAGTTGTTGTATTTTTTCTTTTCGTCTTGTCACTCGCTAGGAATTGGTAAATCTGGACTATAGTAGGAAATACCTCTGTTTGAGTCAAAGAGGATATCCAAATGGATAAATGGAGTCGAGTCAGTGAATAGGAACACTCTCGTGTTTGGATTAGGTTGAGAAAATTTTTCGTAGGAAAGAAAAACCATATAAGAATATTCGAGTATATTCTTGGAAAAATAAAAACACAATGGGGTAGTGGACTCACCTCTGGTACCAAGAGGTTTCTCTTCTGCAAATGAATCGACAACCAGATACTCCGAAAGATAATCTTTTTAATATCAAACACAAAAGGGGACTGCCATCATACATCACATAACATGAATCGCTTGTTATTGAAAAGGATCGGTACTCCCTATCTGAATTCACTTTGTCGACTCCTCGTCGTTCTCAGAAATAATTCTGTCTAATTTGTGGGATTTGTGGTTTGGGAAAACTATCTTTTGCAGTTCCTTAACTGAAGCAATATACAGGGTGAAACATTGATCACCTTAAAACAAAAATATACGCAAGCCACCGATAGACAGCTGTTCCAGCCTATTGGGAATCGTCAGTACCGGGCAGGCGATCCTCGATTGAAGACAAAATGTGAATACCCAAGAATAGTACTTAATAAAAATAACTGCGTAAACGCAAGAGAGACATAAGTGGAACTACTTATGTGGTTTATTATTTATTTAGATCTGTCATTGTCCCAAGTTCATATTTTTATTTACCAGCTCAAATTCTGGAATATATATTTTGTTTGGTACCAGAAAGTATTTTGTTGGAGTATTGGTGCACCCTTTCTGTTACACAACAGGCGGTACTCCATATGATCTATAACGACTAGTTTTTGCCCAGCTGAACCATTGTTTGTGCATTTTTACATATTCTGTCAGTGTTGCCAACACCAAATCAAAAAGAACATTCTTGATTTATTCATATTTACTGGTAGTTTGAAATTTTCGGCAAATCAATAACAAAAATGTATGTTTGCTAAGAAGGTAGAAACTTATTAATACCGTTTATTGTATATGATTTTCACTATAAAGAGTTTTACAAAACCGCAACACAACAGGAAGCTATTGTATAGTGAAACATGTGAAAATCATACAATAAACTGTATCAATTGGTTTTGACATGGATTTTCATCAAGTATCAGCAAGTTCTATTCAATTAATATCTCTTAAGACAAATATCTAGAAACAGGAATTAAGATGCGACTTAGTGTATTTAAAGTCTACATCAATTAGTACTCTGCCTTTGTTTGAAAGTGCTTGACAATGTTTCATGGTGAATTTTATTAGTTTGCACTTCCATTGTCTAATATGATTCTACTGTGATACGAAATCTATGAAAGAACAAATAAAATTAGGGTGAATAGCTGAAATATCAATTATAACAAGCAGTACAACATGAATACTAACAATCGAAACGTCGTGAAGTAACTTGGTTTGAAAATTTTTCAATTTTTTATTTTGTTTTTAATTTTCCGGTTATTTTCATTTTTATTTTTTCAATTTCTTTTCACTCTGTAGTCATTTTGTGAATAGATTCACTGAAGTTGGAATTATGTTACAAACGTTGCGGTGGCTACCAGTTTCTTTACGGTTGTATTACTCAACTATGACATTTATATATAAAATTCTGAATAACTTATCACCTTCCCATTTTTCTGAATTTGTTAGTTTAAATTCAGAAGTGCACAAATATGCCACAAGAAATCATACTGATTTGCATTTATGCAGAACAAATAGGAGAAGTGCCATGAATTCTTTATTTTTCAAAGGGTTTGATGCATACAATAAATTACCAAATGAAATTGAATCTAGTCCATCATTAAGTATTTTTAGAAAACAGTTATTGAAACCCATCCATAACGCTAGATAGAATAATACTTGGTGAGATAATATCAATAAATATAGAATTTTTATGTTGTTTTCTGCTTTTTATCATTGTATTGGAGCTGCACCTATATCGCAATGTATTTTTAATAGCATATGTCGTTATTTTTCAAACTAAAAATTTTTATTTTCAATTTTGAACTATATCTACATTTAAAGTTTTTTTTTATATAATTATTTTCAATTTCTATGTTAGTAATATGTTTTATATAATATTGTGTATTAGGATTACCTATTTCAATAAATATATTCTTCTTCTTCTTCTTTTTCATTTTGTATATTGAATATTTTATTCGTTTTATTGTATTTTCATTTCAGGTTTTATTACTTGATATAACTGATATTTCAACTATTCATTCTAATTTTATCTGTTCTTTCATAGATTTCCAATCACAGTGGAATCATATAAAAAAATCTGTTTTAAATCTGTTTTCCGTTAATCAGATGTCGCCCCCATACGACCGACAACTCTCAGAAGTTGAGAAACTTGTGCGAGCTAAGTCCTAACGAGGTCTCACCTTTTAACGTGTGATTCCTAACACAGTGGCACGGTTGGGAAAAATATCTGGTCAAGACAGAAATCGAACCCACGGTATTCCCATCGTGAGTCCGGCGCACTACCACCGCGGCCAATTCCACAATATTAGACCTGGAAGTCCGAAATATTGAAATAGTATAATGCCTGTTGTCATAAATATCCTATCTCTGAATACCTCCACCGAATGCTATCTGGAAATTGTGGCATGCCATGGAAAAACCTGTGCACGAGTACCAATTCTGTGGAAGCACCAGCATTATGCGGGTATTAATATTAGCAAAAATCCTCACAACGTCAGATCTATAAATCCAAATTTGGCTTTTAACTCTAGGTCTGAATGCCCATAACAATTGTCCGAATGAAATTATTCATACAATTTGATTTATATATTAGTATACCAAAATAATAAATACATACAGTATAATAAATACAACATATAACATGTAAAAATTGAAAAACTTTACAACATACAAAATGTAAAAATTGACAAACTTTCAGCTCGTATATTATTCTAGAAATGAAGCCTAAAATTTAAATTCTTTATATCTCTTTGTCTGCTTGGTGTCCTGTCGTTGCCCCTTCCGTTTATTCTGGAATACAATTCATAATTACAGTTAATCGTAGATGAAGTTGAATGAAAAATAACTACAGTTTGGAAGTCGAAACTCTTCAACTCCAAAATAATATTGTCTCACCTTCTGTTTGGCAACATGCTCGGCCAACATATCACTTAGATCCTCTTTCGGCAACTGAGACTGATTCTCTCTCATCTGCTGCTCATATCTCACTGCCATTGAGTCGCTATCCATGTCCAACTCCGATGGATCAAGAGCCAAATCTACCATTCCTTTACCATCTGTTCGCCTTTGAATTATTTGGGGAGCTCCCACAGTTGCAGTTATCTGTCTCATATCATATACATGAGTGCTGGCCATCATAGCATTACCGATTCTTTCATTTCGTTTTTCAGGAATTATGTGATACAACACGGGAGTTTCGCTTCTAGAAATTTGAGAATATGGCTATTAAAACAGAACATCAAATAAAAGGCGTTTTCTAGAGGTCATGTATTCAAAACGTATTCATCTGTGATTCAAATAAATTCTTTCTGGCGATGAAACGATGACGTCACATCAACTATGACGTTACGTTACGTCAGTTGTCAGTTTCTGCTTTATTTTGATCATTATAGTTTCTAAATTACTGAAAACTTTCCATCAAATACGTTGTGAGGATTTACAAAATGAAGCTGGGACAATTATCTACCGAGGCTTTGGCTAAATGTTGGTGGCACTCTAGTACTAGCCCTTAAGTAACACGTTGTCTGTTCAAGGCTAACAGGACTTGTCTGCTGTCAGTGGGTGGGTTAAAGGACACGACAGGAGTAAAGGTAATCGCATTGCCGACTCTTTAGCCAAGGAAGCTGCTGGACTAAGAATTTTAAGACCCAGTGGCACTTACGGCCTGATGACTTCGACAATTGCGAAAATAGCCCAATGTTACATCAATGCTCAATTCGTAAAGAGATGGGATGGAATCAAAGGATGTAATCTTGCCAGAATCATCCTGGGTGACCCTGGCAAGCTGGCGCCGAAGAAATATCTGGCGATGACCAGGAAAAATCTACGCTTAAGAGTTGGATTTCTGACTGGCCACTGTCAACTAAGGAAACACCTCCATAATATGGGGCTAGTGGACACACCTGTATGCAGGATATGTCAACAGGAAGATGAGATTGTCAGGCATGCCCTATGCGAGTGCCTGGAGTTATCGTCAATAAGAGAGTGTGTGTTCGGCGAATCTTGACTTACACCTGCCGATACAGAAGAGATGTCTCCAAGTGACCTGTCCACCTTCCTGAAAAGGACAGGATGGACGATGATCTAGTGGGACAACTCCTCTGGATGATGTATAATGGATAACATGTGGCCTATGTGCTGTGGGCTTACACTCACTCTCCCTGCTCTACAGATATAGAAATTATTTGCACAAATCCGATTCTATTTGAGGTTAGAGAAAATTGAAAAGCTTGTTTTTATTATTGATTTTGACATCTGACCCAAATATAATCTTTACATTCTGGCGATATCATTATCAATGACGTCACTACGAATCGTTTTTAAATACACGCCAGAATACCATTAAACGCCAGAAAACATCCAAACATTGTATGAAGAATATATTTACCTCTCCATGTCATTTTTAGTTTCCTTCTTTCTAAGTTCAATGGTTTCAGGTGTCTCCATGCGACTCGGAGTCGGAGTTACAAGGCCTTCTGCAGGCGTCACTAATTCAGATTTATCAGGCATGCTTGGGGTTTCCTTTTCTTCTTCCTCCTCCTCCTCTTCACTCTCCTCTTCAGATACTGATTCAATTTCCCCCCACAAAGTTCTATCCACATTTGGATCCTCTCCAATATCCTGAAAATTACATGATAATTGGGTTTGAACAAATTTAATAAGCTGAAATCCATTGAAGGTCAAGAAAGTGAAGAAGTGATGGACGTTAAATACAACAAATTAGTAATTAAAAGAACATGTTTTCTCGTGAAAAGTACTTTAAATTTACGCAGCAACTCAATGAAGTGAACTAAAACGTTTGTCTTTTCAACACGTGTATAAAGTTATCCATTACTACCTTGTAGCAATTTTTGATCAGAAATGTTCAAATTGTTGAATTAAAAAAGAACACATTCTATTTATGGGATGGAAACAACAGCAGCTAATTTTTTTAAATACTGATCCATATATTTATTTCCTTCCTTGGGTGAAACCAGACCGCAATAACCAAACATGCATGAACCATCACCAAACAATGCTGTCATAGGTGTCATCAGTGCTGCTAGGTTGAACCACGAATGTATTGTCGAAATCAATAATCATCCTTAATGGACAAAGAACAATTGAGTCCAACAATTAATTCGTTGGATAGCCTACTATCACTGATGGTACCTAAGACCGTTGAAAAATATAAATAGTGCTCGATGTTTTTCCTGTGAATGATTTTATGTTTCTCAATTTGAAGTTAAACATGAAGTTCCTCAGGAATTTTGAATGTGAAAGTTGTGCGACGTGAAGAAGCCTCATTGGATTCATCAGAAGTCTGTCATGCTTGGCTCACTGCGCTTCCTCAGGGCACATGATTCTCGGACCCAATGATGACTTACCCTACGCTATGAGGAGTGATCGTTGGTTGATAGTGCTGAAGCGCCTTCCCAAATGTATCGGGGCTTCGGGGAATAGAGCCTGAGTAGCAGATACTACGATAATAATAATAATGATAAGCAGGGATGGCCAGTAACACCTAAGGCCGTTGGTGAGTTACGCCACCACTTACCCGAGCAATTGGTGCAAAACCCGAGCGGTAGCCCAAACGCCCCAGGGAGGGAAAACACTATTCTCCCACCGGTACCGACTGTGGGTCTAGAAGGTTGACCACCCGGTAGACCCATAATTTGGTTCCTGGTAATCGAGAAAGAGGGCTCCACAATCGACCCGCTCGATGGAGTCAGAGGCAAAGTGGTGGCCCATAATGGGGATTGGCCTACCAATGACAACCCTGGTAATGACAACGGAAGCTTTGAGTGGACGCATGAGCTAAGCCTTATGCATTTCTACGAGAGTAGTGAGCCCGCGCGAAGGAGAGGGTGCATGGCGAGAATGCATGCTCTGTGGTGTTATACACACGGATACTCACCACAGTTGGCCGACTGTTCGAACGAATATATGAGCAGAGAGGGTCGAAGAGAGGAGTCGCTGGATGTAAAGAGAACCTGCTCATCGATAGATATGTAACGCAGGACTTAACAGAGTTCCACCGTTCCATGGTTGCACTTCCCCCGACAACAGGGTGGCTATGGACTTTTGAGTTTTGAGTGTCTGCATGACACAATAGTACTGGATGGAGCCTGTAACGTCGACAGAAAATACGAATCCCCTCATCTGCATGGTATACGACCATGAGAGAGCAGAAATTGAAGCATTCCTCTCGTGGTGATCACAACTTCGTCACCGAGTTGGAACCCGTTCAGCAGAAGGCCAATAAAAAAGCCGCAGAGATCACCTCACTTCATTGGCAACTCAAGGATAAGCCAATGCATGGGGACTTCGTCAATAACATTGAAGACCTTTGCTTATCAAAGCGTCTGACTTTCACTTTCCTCAGATCGAGTGGGCTGAAGTAGGAAACTGAGAGGTTCATCATTGTCTGTCAATATGTTGTGTTCAACACCTCAGTCTACCGTAGTCGCATGATGGGTATACAGGTTCCTAACACAATGTATAGAGTCTGTAGTGAGGCGTCTTAGACCCTAATGCACTTGATGTCAGCATGTTCATCATATGCGGTCTCGACGTATATTAATCGACTTAACGCGGCATTATTATCCACCTATGGTATTGACGGGACATCGGTGTTGTCCTGTGCTCCGGGGGATATTGAATATGTTGTGGGGAACAAGAAGTGCCAAATTCATTGGAACTATTCGTTTCCCACCCTCAGGCTCATACAAGCTAATAAACATGATGTGGTCCTTCTTGACCACCAGAGCAAGCCGATATTTGTCGTGTAGTTTTCAGTTCCTGGCAAGACGAATATCGTCCAGAAAGAGGAGACAAAAAAGGATAAAATATCGAAATTTCCTCTTCGAACTCCGCAGACTCTATCGAGACCCCTCTGTCAAGATAATTGTTCTGATTATTGGATCCCTTTGTGGAATGATGTCCTCTCTACTCTCGAATCTTAAAATCATACTCTTAGCCGGACAGATGCAGAAGGCTGTCTTTCTTGGCTCACTGCGCTTGCCCAGGGCACATGATTCTCGGACCCCATGAAGACTTACCTTACGGTATGAGCAGGAGTCGTTGGTTGATAATGCTGGCGCGCCTTCCCGTAACGGGGCATCGGAGAATAGGGCCTCACCAGCGCAAACTTTGGTGATAATAATAATGATAATCGAGTAGAAAAGTATTTTCATAATCGACTCACATCAATGTTAACAGCACTAGTTCCAAAAACGTCACCATACAATGGTTTTCCATTTTTATCAATGGGTGGCTTACCCCAACCTCCTGCGTGATATCCAAAAGCGCAGCCTTCAGGAATTGGAACATTCAGTCCTGGTATTTTCAGATTGGGGTACTTAGGAGGGGGCCCATAACGTTGCATAGCAATTAGCCACGGAGGAGGTACTTTGTTGGCATTAGGACCAACAGGCATACCCAGAGCTGTTCGTATCTCTTCCGATAAATTCCCAGGTTTCTTTTTCTTTAGTTTGGTTTCAAATTCCTTACCTTCGTAGTAGAGATCGCCATGAATTGTCATCTTGGGCTTTGTTTGCCACCTGGAAAGTGAAGTTTTCCAAAATGAATAACTGAATAGTAATTACTTATTTTGCTAATTTTGATATCATTTTACCATTTTTATATCGAAACTGCGACACCAGTGACGGGCTACTGATACAATAAATCGCACTTTCTATTTCAAAGGTTCTGATTATTTACAGCACCAATGAAATAGATAATAGAAAATTGAGAACCTCCTTAGCGAGTTATAGTTTTCACTTTATAACGGAATATTTCGATTTTATATAAATATTTGCATATATTAATCTCTTTACTTTGTTTAAGAACTGCATTTAGTGTTACTATGGTTTTTTTATGAGAGCATTTTTCTTCTTGATCTGAGAACAGTGTTATTTTTGCAATTGTTTTATATCAAGTATTTGATCTCAAAGAATGAATAAATATACTATTCTATTTTTCAAATCCTAACTGAAGCGAATGAACCTCATTTTATATTACATGATGTAACAAGTAGTGAAAATTCATCAGAATGATCAGCAAAATAGCATTAAACTAATATCTAACAATGGAAATAAAAAAGTGACTAACTTGAAAAATGCATCATGTAATTTTTGATAATCTATATCAAATTTCCCCAGTGTAGGTCTTGTTATTTCCCTCATTTTTGTCTTCAAGGTTTTTGATTCATCTTCATCTTGCAAGGAAGCTCGCACCCCCATGATACCCGTTTTCTTTATGAAATCTGGCAAGTTGAATGGGGGTTTTTCAATACCCCTTTTTCCCTGTAGATATTTGCGCTTGAAGCACCAATGCCTCGGAACCTGAAAAGAATAATAGATCCAATTATCTAATGAAATATACATAGGTATATGACTGCGAGAGTAGTGAAACCGATTAATTTTTTACCGGGACAGTATTTCGGTATGCTTTCAATTGTATGAGCAGTTCGGGTTCTTTGGCAGCTACATCGTGCATTTCCACTACATCTGGTCTGTTAACCAACTGTTTCAACTCAGCAACACTCAGCCTTGTTAATTTCTTCATTTTTCGTTTAGATAATTTGGTTTCGCCCCCAAACTTCTGCAAGAACAAGAAGAAATACATATATATCTCAAAGTAATGGTGGCATGCTCTTTTTCATTACAATCTGGAAATACGAGGGCAACCCTGTAAGTTTCACGATTAGTAAGGAACACGGTATTTTTACATTGAAAATGGTTTTATTGCTCTCCATAATGATCAATACACTTTTGTTTTCATTCAAACTATTTATTATAGCATCCATGCTACTCCAAAAGTGTGATAGGGAGAGTTCGCATTGTCATTATGAATAATGAGTTATTGTCTCAAGTTGTTTTTCCTTATTTGGACGAAACAAATGGTTGTGTAATATACAGAATTGCTGCTCATTTTACGTTTCTCTAAGGTTACTGTTACCACATGACTAGTTTTTTCGAAAAATCTGTTTTTCCGTTAACCAGCTGTCGCACCCCTACGAACGACAACCCTCAGAATTAGTAACTTGTGCGAGCTGAAGATTAACGAGGTCTTACTTTTTTTACGTGTGATTCCTAACACGGGTTGGACGATAGAAAGTGAAAATCGATTGTTCAGACTAGGGCTTGAACCACCGACCAACACGGCAGTCAATTCGAGTGAGTGAACAAAGCACCCACGTCGAACCGCCTGGCCACCGACCGACCAGAAACAGGCGAACATTTGTTTCGAAGTGTTTCAAGCGCAAACAATCTTTGTTTTCTTCATTTTGAAAGATCTACAGTTGACTACTATTTAGTTTTTGACTCATAAACATAGAAGTAAATATACAATGCCGCCGTTTCTAGCGCAAAATCCCATGCTTTTTTTATGAAGTTTCATTTCAGTCATTTTTGATCATTCCAAGGCCATTTGAACTGGTTGGTAAGAAAGGTCCTTGGCCATCAGAATGAAGTGAGTGAACATCAGGTGTTGTATTCATGTTTTACAATTATTATTTTTTTTAAACGTAGTATGCGCTGGTCAGGCCCTCTCCTCCGAAGCCCCGATACATTCGGGAGGGCGCACCAGCCTTATCAACCAACGACCACTCCCCACACCGTGGGTTGAGTGCTCATTGGGTCCGAGAATCATGTGATCTGAGCAAGCGCAGTGTGCCAATAATAACAGCCTTCTGCATCTGTCCGGCTAAAATTTCTGCCTTAGTGCGGCAAGCCGGCATGATTTTGAGATTCGAGAGTAGAGAGGGCATCATCCCACCAAGAACTCCAATAATCAGAACAACCATTTTGGCAGAGCGGTCTGGATAGAGTCCGCGGAGTTCGAAGAGAAAATCTCGATATTTTATTCGTTTTTCCTCCACTTTCCGGACGATATTCGTCTCCCAGGAGCTGAAAACTCTATGACAAATATCGTCTTGCTCTGGTAACCGAGAAGGACCACATCAGGCTTATTAGCCTACATGAGCCTGAGGGTGGGTAACGAATAGTTCCAATAAATTTGGCACTTCTCGTTCCCTACAACGAATTCAATATCCCCCGGAGCGTAGGGCAACATCGATGTCTCGTCAATACCGTCAGAGTTCCGTTGATGGTAATATAGCACTGTTAGGGCCGCGTTGTCGATGGATATAGGTCAAGACCGCGTATGCTAGACATGCTGATAGCAAGTGCATTAGAGTATGGGGAGCCTCGCGTCAGGCCCTGCACCTTGTGTCAGGAACCTCTATACCCATCATGCGACTGCGGTAGACTGAGGTGTTGAAGACACCATCCTGGCAAGCCATGATGAACCCCTCAGTTTCCGACTTCAGCCTACTCGACCTGAGGAAAGCGAAATTCAGGCGCTTTGATAAGTCAAGGTCTTCAATGTTATTGAAGAAGAACCCATGCATTGGCTTATCCTTGTGTTTCAGCAGAAGTGAGGTGATTTCTGCGGCTTTTATATGAGCTTTTTGCTGAACGGGTTCCAACTCGGTGACAGAGTTGTGGTTACCTCGTTCAGTGTCGAAAAGTAAACCGAGTTTTCATCAGCTGCTCGGGCAGCTACCCTGAAAAGAAATGCTACACTTCTTGCTCTCTCATGGTCACGGACCATGCAGAGAAGGGGATTCGAACTCCTGAAAACTTTACAGGCTATATCCAGTACCATTCTGTCATGTAGACACTCCAAACTCGAAAGTCCACGGCCTCCCTGTTGTCAGGGGAAGTACAACCGTGAGACGGACGATTTGGGATACAAACTCCTATAGAGATGCATTATTTTTTTGGGTCTTTTCGTCGAGTTGATACAGCTCCTCCCGAGTCCACTTCACTACTCCAAACGAGTAGAGAAAGATTGGAACGGCAAACAAATTTGTTGCAGCAACTTTGTTCTTTCCTGACAGTTCCGATGACCAGATCTGTCGAAGTTTGTGCTGATACTTGCCGCGGAGAGAGTTCTTCACTGCTGTTACCTTTTGTGAATGACGTTGTTCCACCCCGAGGTAAGTATACGTCTCTCCGGCATCCAGATGGTGTAGGATGCTTTCATCTATTAGCTGCAAATACTCTCTGTAGTACCCGCATCGTCCTCTTTTGAGATGGACCATTGCACTTTTGTCTATCCCGAATTTCATACCGATAGCATTCGTGTACTCTTCCACCACCCTCAAGGACAGATGGAGATCCTTCTCTCCAGAGGCATAAAGTTCAAGATCATCCATATAAAGCAAATGGGTGAACTTGTGCCTCCGGTTTCTGGGGATACCACAGTTATACCCTCGAGTATTTCTGAGGGCAACAAGTAATGGCAATAGTGAGATGCAGAAGAGAAGGGGACTGAGGGAATCGCCCTGAAATACACCCCTTCTGAAAGTGACCCACCCTGTTTGGACTCTTGCTTGACCAGATGTTATGGAGAAGCAAGTTTGCCAGAGTGGTATCAGTTGTTCAATGCATCTCACTATTTTTTCGGGTACCGCAAGGCATCTGAACAAATGCAAGATGAGCTCTTGCGATATTGTATCAAATGCCTCACGGTAATCGATCCAGACCATAGAGAGGTTGCGCTTATATTGTATAGAGCCCTGGGTTACACATCTATCGATGAGCAGGTTTTCTTTACATCCAGCGACTCCTCTTTTCGACCCTCTTTGCTCATATATCCGTTCGAACACTCGGTCAACTGCGGTAAGTATTGGTGTGTATAAGATGCTTGTAAACAACTTATTATAACACTAATTCAAGCATGTTATCGGTCTGTAATTCTTAGGAATTAGGAATTGACAAATCTCCGCTTTTGGGGATAAGAATGGTCCGCCCCTCGACAAACCAATTCGGAATCGCTTGCTCTCCGTCCAGCCATGAGTTGAAAACTCTGGCCAGATGGCGGTGGGTGCTTGGTAGTTTTTTCCACCAATAAGTGTTCAGCCCATCTGAGCCTGAAGCAGCAAAGTTCTTGGAACCCACAAGGGCCCTTCGAACATCATCCGGCGTTATCGGGTTGCGCAGTTCATTGAGCTCAGGCTATCGAAGCTCTCTGTTGAAAGCTTCGAACTGCTCTAGGGCTGGAGTGTCTAAGTTGAGTGGCTGCGGGTGTTATAGATATCCTTCCAGAAGGATTCCATCTGATCAGTGATCGGCGGATTATCCACAACACGTGGAGGCTCTTGGAATAGGCGAGCAAGTTTCTAGCGAAACCTGAGGTTTTCCGCGATTCTTCTCGTTCGCCTCACTAGTGACTTCTTAGCAGCCACTAGCATTCGTATCCTATCAAGGCAGTGCTGTTTGGTGGTCAGCAACACGCCTTGACTTAAAGTGTGATGGATACGTCGCAGTTTGGCGGCAATTCGCCGCCGCATTGCGGGCGTGAAAGGCCTGTTGGCCGGCCTGTAATCCATCACACATTGGTTCCGAGACGCGTGTTGTCTCGCCGACGTGATCTTAGCCTCCATTTTAGGTACACGCCATTCAATCTTTCGAATCGCAAGGCCAGGAATTCGTCCTTCCGATTCGGAAAGCGATACGGAACGCGATAATTATTATTCCATCTTAATCTTGAAGATGATCACTTGGTGATCGAAACACGCGTCGAGGTGTAAAAATAATGATTTGGTGTTGGGAAAAAACTCCAGTAATATTCATTACTACACCAAAGGTTCCAAACAGTACATCACAAGTACTCATTCCCGAGTTCAATTCCATCTAATACGACCACCCAAACGATGTTCAGTCACTTCATTCTGATGGCCGAGGATATTTCTTGCCAACCAGTTCAAATGGCCTTGGAATGTTCGAAAATGAGAGGAATGAAGCTCCATAAGAAAAAGCATGGGATTCTGAGCTAGAAACGGCATTCATACCTACAGCCAGGGATGCCTAAATCACACGGTATGTCACATTCCGAACATGTCAGTTCACGCACAGCAGGTTTGTTCGTGAGCAAACTATGACCACAATTGAATTAATTAAACCAGCAGCAAGTAGTAGCCTACTGTGGTGCTTTACATTACCAAAAGTGGAAACAACTTGAACTACGCAGTCTTTCCCCGATAATCCACATCAAAAGTAATGAAAAATCATCGCAGGAAAGTTTTCCTATATAAATTCCATTTTTTCAAGTCACTGTTACGAGTCATTCTTAATTACAAAACGTTTTTAGTAAAAATATTTCCTGGACTGTCAAACTTTTTGACGGTAAGGTAAGATTTTACCTAGCACTTTTGCTAAGTCGCAAAACTTGCGGGATAGCCCTATTGATAGAATTATGAAACAATTATCAAAATAAACCTTCTGTATATTATGATTACAATCACTCACCTCATCATTTTCATCAACGTCCATATCTTCTTCTACAGTAATCTCTTTACTAGACAGAGCCATTGGAGTGGCTAAAACAGGTGGAGCAATATCTGCTTTTTGATCTGTGAATTTGAAGGACTCAAATATGCTATAGAATTGATGATACTCTGGGGCCAACTCATGTAGATCAATGGTTTCTTGAACATACCTTTGAACATTATTCAAACTCTTTAAAATCATTATATACAATTTGAAATTTTCAAAATAAAAATTTCTGAAGAATGCAAAAGTCGAAGAGGAGGCTTCATATTTCAAGTTATTGAATATTTTGACATATAATAAGTGCCAAAAGCTAAGCCTTTTCTGAATAAATTCAGTCTGAAACATTTCCATGTTCTCAATCTACCAAACTGTGGGAATGTATATGAGAGCAATACAGAACTTTTATTGTAATAATAGAAAATTCCAATGAGTAACAGAATACGAAGCCCAGCATTTTGAAAGATCTTGATACAAATGTTACAAGTTACTGATAATCAGTAAATTTTTCTACATGAGAAATACGTAGAATTTACGAAATACATATCGGGGTGAACTGAAATTTTTGCCCTTTCTAGACGCGTGTAAAGTTCTCCATTGAAAATTTCATATATTTTTTTCAGATTTCAGAAGATAAAAATACCCAAAACTGATTTTCCTCCATAAAAAATTACTCGTTCAATATTCTCCTTTATGTAATGGCCTACAAATACTGGTTGATGGATTAATTCAGTTGACAGCTAATAAGTGTGATGGTGTATGCTTTTTTTATGTGATTTTTATGGCAGCAAAACAAAATCTCAAACTGTTCACCAAGAAAAAATGTTTTAATATAAATTCATCAACAAGAACAAAACTTCACGCTATCATTCACATGCCACCAGTGTTAGTTTTTAGATTCAAATTGAGACAAGAACTATGACGTTCAAATGGGCACCTGCTAGAAGGATAAAAGAAATGAATAATGAATATGAATCTCATACACAACTTCCACTTCTTCCTCCATTTCTTCAGGTTTGGGTTCGTTTTGTTTTTTATCTTTTCCGTCATTTTCTCTGTTTTTTCTATTTTTCTTTCTATTCTTTTTCTTTTTATTTTTACTAACTTTATCTTTGAACTCTTTTTTCTTTTGTTGTTTTGGCGCCTCTGGTTCAACGTCTACAACTGTTTCCTACAAAATAAAACCCATTTATCCATATGAAATAGAAACAATTCCAGTATTACTCATTATGATATCAAGTTTTTGAAATAGAGGTTCAAGTTTAGAATTCATATTGACAAAAAATCTCTTGAATATAATGGATAGAACTGGCCGATAACTTGATGTAAGATTTTCACTATAAAGATTTTACAAAAACCGGCCATGTGTTGCCCATTCTCATTTGTGAAAGCTTTCGTATATGGGAACAAGTGTCACAATAATTTTTGTGTGAGGACATTATTTTGTTGAGAAATATACTCACGACATTATCATCTTTCTCCCAAAGTTGTTCTTCCTCAGCTTCTTCATGAGCTTGTCCATAACTACCTCCGTCAATATCAGTACTAAGTTCTAAGGCTCTCTGATTTTTCAAAGCGAGAACTTCTTCCAGGGCTTGTGGAAGGACAACATCAGGGTTTGCTTTCAATAATTGTTCAGGGGAATCAACTTTCGATGACAGCAGAGATGGTAGTTGTTCTTCATCCACAGGTGGAGGTTGCATTATTGAAGGTGGCGGATCTATTGAATCTGTTTGATTATTGATTGCAATTCTCAAGAAGGATCCGAATCGTGAATATGTGTCAACCACTGTGAAAAACTTTTACCTTAAAGATTTGAGATCTTTCACAGAAAGGACACCCACAATATAAAACTCAGTCAGATCGATGTATAGAAAAACAAAACTAGGAATAGAAAAAAAAAATAGTAGGGGAATGGGGGAAATATTGACCAGCTTAATGGAAGGATATTCTGTTTTATCCATTGTTGAAACCCATGTTGCGGAAGATAAACTTATAGATATTGCAACCACTTTTGCAGGAACCTTTACCAAAAAGATGCGGTTGTAATATGTAATAATTCCCACAAGATTACAGCATACATATGTGTTATATGTTGATTATTGACTTTCTTTATTCATACCCAAGGAGACATGGGTATGATCAAACATCTTGAAGATGATCACTTGGTGATCGAAACACGTGTCGAGGTGTTAAAATAACGGATTGGAGTTGGGAAAAAACTGAAGTAATATTCATTACAACACCAAAGATTCCAAACAGTGCATCGCAAATGGATAAACAAGATCAATGTCAAGACTTACTTATGCTGAATCGACAGTTCTTAAACGACTTCACAAAACAACTTTGTTTTCTTTGTTTCATTTTCAGACTATGTAAACAACTATTTTTCTATGAATACGTGGCAAAATGAGTTAGTTATACTTATATTTATAATCAGTTACATTCAGACTCTGTTACTTTCATGTTGATATTTTGTAATTGTATGACTCAAGAGAATTCAGTACTGTTTCGTCATTTCTCAAAATAAATGTTTTTTAAAAACTTATAAAGTGAGATACAACAAATTGGTGTAGTCCACGGTAGGATCCTTCAACACTAGACGGAACAAGAAGCAGCATAACCGATAGAGGTTGATTCCAATCCTTCAAAGGAAGAACCAACAACCCCAGGTCACAGAACCACAGCAGAACGGTCTCTTCAATGGTGGAAGAACACGCGCACGCACTTCTCTGGAGCAACGCTAGAGAAATAGGTTTACATCATCTATGGACAACCGTTGATTAGTGAAAAAGAATTATAATATATTTCCAAAGTGAGAAATAATATGTCTTGATAATATCGGAACTATATAGATACGACTTGAATATAAATCAAATAATAATAATGATGATAATAATGAAGGTCTTTATTAATTTTCAACTGTATTTATACACGTGCATGTGAACTAAATAAGTAAATGGGCGAAATTCAGTATGGCAATCGTCACTGGAAGGTATAGACTGCCATCTGTTCTTCCACCTAACCCGATATACACTACTAAATGTCAAGTCTGAACAAACACAAAAAATACATTGATTACATCTAAATGCACTTATGTTACATGGAATATAAACAGTGCTATAACCAAATTAATAAATCTCAGTTCAAATTGAAGATACAGATTAGTCAAGGGAACTTAAATTATTATTTTTTACATAGTTAATGCTAAATTCATAATTCTCAGATTGTACTGGAGATAAAGAGTGAGAATTTTTTCATTATTAGAGAAAAAATAAACAGAACTCAAAAATAAAAATAGAACTTACTATCTATCGAGAATTATGATGATATGCGTCTGGAAAGTCGATAACGAGAGTTCTTCCAACTCTGGAGGTATTTTATTCATACATTTGGTAATGCAGTAAGGAAATTATCTTCTGTAGAATTCTATGTCAAACATTAGAGGAGTAAGCCAACTTTTTCGTCGAATATTAATATTATGTACATCATCAACCCTATTTATTGAATAAATAGGGTTTTAGTATTACAAAACTTTGTAAAATAAGCAACCAGAATGAAGGAATCTTCGATCGCTCATATTAAACCAGTTGTTAGTTTTCGATGTGTATGAAATCCTATCGTATTTTCTGATACCATAGATTAACCTCAAGCAACTATTTTGGAGCTGTTGAATGCATTTGATGTCAATAGAGTTGATATAAGAAGCGTAAAGAATATCGCAGTAATCCTGGATAACACTAAAGAGTCACATAGTAAACTGTCTATTTTGATAAATTAGTTTGAGATTACAACATGCTTTTTGTAAACTTGTGCTAATGTGATAAAAAATCTCATATCTTTGTCAATCCACAAATCCATATTCTTAACTTTTTTAGAAAGTGTTAAAGTACCCTCTCCAATCTGGATGCACCCAAAGTTGTTTGCAATAAATTATTTTCTTACATTCTTTCTACCGAAAACGATTGCAACAGTTTTATTTGAATTCAGTTCTAGCCAATGATTCATAGAAACAATTGATCGTAATATTCTTCTAATGAAATTAAGAGGTTATGGCATTGATGGTGATATTTATCAATGGTTATCTGACTTCTTAACCCATAGAAAGCAAAAAGTTAGATGAAAAATGAAAACTAAAGAAATAGGAAACATTGAAATTGTATCATGTATCAAATATCTTGGGTTTCAGTTAGATAATTTATTACTGTTTGGCAATCATCTCGATTATATATGTAAAAAAATATCTACANAAACGTGTGGCAGTAAAAATGGAGTGTATGTAACGTTAGAATAATAATGACATCTGTACCTGTTGCTCTGCTTTTTTATGTTTTTATTTAAATAAATATTTCTGTCTCCTTGGCTGATTCAAAATTCAACAAGGAAAATATTGAATTTTTCAGATTACTTCCGTAATATTTAATAATTTCCTCATTAGGTTCGAGATTAGGAATGTTGGTAATGGAATGATCATTTTATAGTATCAGTATCATTCAATTGATCCGGTGAATAAGTATTGTTATGTCCAAAGATCATCAAGTTACTGAAAGTTGGCTGAATTTTATTTACAAATTTTATTATATGAAAATAATTTGCGAGTTATGAAAAAAATCGGTATCCAAAAAACATGTGTTTTAACTTAATATATAGAAACCAGTTTTGTAAGAAACGGCTATAACTTGAAAAAATCTGCGAAATAGGTCATAGACGAATCAATAGTTAACTCTCTGAAAGAAATAGAAAAAAACAAAAACTGTGAGAAGCGGAACATTCATTATGGAAAATGGACTCTCAAAAAAAACAATCTTGGAGATGAGCAACAAGTGGAACAACTCAAATAATACGGCTGAGCACAGGAATGAATATGATGATGACGAGAATGACAATAGTTTCAGAGGAGGCTATCCAGTACCGTTGAACAAAAAATATAATCCAACAACTCCTTTTTTGGAAATTCAAGAAGAGACTTTCAAGTTATGCTACTGAATTATCAATCCATCAGAAATAAAATTGATGCACTAGACCAGTGGTTCCCAAGTTAAAGGTTGCGACCCACTAGTGGATCACGTGAGCAACTTCAGTGGGTCGTGAAAACAGATTAAAAATTGTTAATACTTTTGAAACTAAGGAAATACCTCCATATTGAGGGGCTAGTGGACACACTTCTATACAGGATCCGAGTGTTCGGAGTTATCGTCAATAAGAGACACTGTGATCGGCGAGTCTTGGTCTACACCTGCCGTCATTTATTTATTTCACCCTAACAGGCCTGTCGGCCCCATTACAAGGATGAATTATAAGATAAATACATGAATATACAGATATGTTTTATATCATATTGAACAATATAATATAATATGGGGATGTATTATTATCTGACAACGAGCAGTACTTATTACAACTCACAACAAGAAAAATTATAGAAAAACTAATTGCTAAGCTGATAAATTCTCAACATGTCTACGGACTAAAGATCTAAACTTTGTGATAGACATATTCCAATCAATATCTTGCAAGCAATTTATGACGTTTGCCAGACGGAGCATGATTAAGAGGGGGGATGTGGAAGTAACAGTCACGAAGGAAGTGTTGAACTTGAGGATCGTATGCGTAGGTCCGGTAGGTACATTAATCGGTAATAGTGACAATAATTCTGTGGAGTTTATATTGTTATTAATAATTTCATTAAAAAAATTAGTGAAAAGATTTTTCGCCTAGAGTCTAAGGATGTAGAGCACAAGAAAGGGGATGGAATTAATAAAGAAACGACATGGACAAAGAAATCGGAAAACGAATTCACATGGAAATGATCA